AAACTTGTTACTAAGTACTGGATTTCTTTTTCTTTCAACCAGATTTGGTGAAGTCAAAGAAATAAGGTCCTGTGTAATGCCTTGAAGGCATGTTTTATTTAAATCAGTGTGTGTTACTGAATCACAAAAGTGTATGGAGGATTTAAAAAGTGGTGAGGATAATAAAAACCCACAGTTATCTTTAAATTGCCTTCAGAGTTTTAAAAATGCACTCTCGTCATGCACAAATACCTTTATTTGATTTTAAAATTCTATATAAATGAACAATAGCAGAAATGCCTTGTTACAAACTCTTCTGAGCTACCCTTGTGGTAGTTGCTTATACAGAAAATTTCTTGCTAATCAAAGTCAGTGTCTGAGCAGCAGCTATTAAATGTTTGCCAAGATATATAACGCTGTGTCATCTGCAGTTGTAAACTGGTCTAGACGTAAGGAAGCTGGCTGGCCGATGCCAACTGACCTTACTTGAAAATGTGGTCTGCAGTTGTTACCTACTAGACTAGCCCTGCAAATATCTAAATTCCCTCCACCGACACAAATGAGACATCTACAGGAACACTAAAATAAAGTTGTGAGTCCTTAAGCAATAAATTTATTAGATATTATAGGGGGGATTAATTATATCTTCAGGGTTCATTAGTACTACAAGTAAAACCACTTTACTCACAACTGTGATTCAAAGGAACTGTGATAAATGATTTAGACTATAATTTATTTGTGAATTTTTCTAATTCCCTTTTCCTGTGAAGTAAGTAGTGATGTGCAAATGGTAATGCTCTGGTTTGATATTTAAAAAGAAAAACAAGGAAACACAGGCAGCTTTTCAGATGGCCCTGTTGATGATCTGACATTAAAAAGCAAGGGAGCGGAATGCAGTCCTTTCAAAGTCACATTCAGATTTGACCTTCAGAATTAAAATCACCAACCAAGTAGGCTGTTATGCTTTCGTATAACAGGAATACTTATTTGAATCTGTTTGATAAAATATTTGCTTAAATACATGCATACTAGAAATAAAAATTTATATGCCAGCATTTCATTATGAGAGTCTTTTGGAATTAAAATTATTTACATTATGCTGAGATGCATACAGCCCATCCATAACAAATAGACTGAGAATAAATAAAGTGAACATTTAGTTAAAAACAGCTGCAAGATGTTTTACATTTTTGCTCAGTATCGAGCAGTGTGTTGAAAATGGATTTTTCATAAAACCACATGCGAGGCTTTTTGATGGTGAAAAAATCTACTCACAACAACCACGTGTCTAGGTGAATCCTTAGAAGCTAGCATGGACCCCACACAGATATTCCAAAAGAAAAGACATTACTAGAAGTAGTTTCTCTTGAAGTAGAATATGTATGATCCTACTACACCACTTTCATAAATAAATAAAAGTCTTTTTTCTAGCACAAAACTGGTTCAATTGGAGGGCAAGTGAAACCCAGGTTCACATTTTACTTAGTTTTTTCTTTCCATATTTTTTTCTTAAATGATCTCTTGACTTACACAAAGATTATTTTGTTTTAGGAAAAAAAATATTTGCCTTTGGGTTGTAAAGTAAACTTATGCAACCTGCATGGACAATTTTCACTTGCTGTGTTCTTTATATTCTTAAGGGGACTTGTCTCCTATTTATTCAATTTTTACTGCATGGAATTAACCAAACCCTAGTTACTTGGATTTCTTTTCAGCTTTAGAAGGAAACACCATATAAAAATAAAGTTCTAAAAGTAATAGTTTCACTGGAATAGGTAAAACTACTGCTCCATATAACTTTTGGACAGATTCCTTCACACCTGAGCTTTTCAGGGAAAGAGCTAAAGATGGAGGAAAAAATACAATTTAAGCTCATTTTTAGGATTTATAGAACTTTTCTGAGCAAGAACAAAGTCCATATGAGTCCATAGTTTGTTACAATCTAAGCTAAATTTTCATATTAATCTTAAACTTTCTCCTGTGTGTCTTTCATATGAAGTGGCATAACCCAGCCTATATTGCATATCACGTCTATATAGTTTTAGAACCATTTGGTGCATTTGATGTGGGGGTTTTTTATTCCTCCTCAGGGCTAGTGGGTCCCCTTTCCATGGCAATACTAGGTAAGCATTCTGTCGTTTTAGTTTATTGTTCTGTGTAAACCAGGGTTAGTCACTAACTTGTTAAACGTTACCATCAATTAGATTAGTTACAATCAATTAGAAGCTTTACTTTGTGATTCACAGCATTGTGTTTTGTTCTTCATAGTGTCATATCTGTGGTTTTGAAGGAGCCAAATTAAAAAGGATAGTTCTTACTTCTAGGTTACACTTCCATACCTCATCCCGTTACACAAAAAGGTTAAGTGTCTTTTCAGATTAAGGCAGCAGTAATTAACCAGTGGTATTGTTTGTGATTTGCCAACTCTGGGTGTTAATGAGAGAGAAATTAGCACTTAGCAGCAGGAGTTCCTGATAGTCAGTGGCAAATGCTTAATGTGCCAACAAGTTAATTTTGATCTTAAGTATTGCACTTAAGTGTTTTTAAACAAAAGTATGGTATGTTTTTTATGTGATCATACATATGAGAGGTATGATATAGAGCTATAATAGAAAGAATGCACAATATAGTGGAAAAAAGTGCAAACTATGCAGTACAGAGGAAATAGTTTTCCTACATTACAGCCAAAAGCAGGATTGATAGATGTTTTCATGCTAAAGATGTACTTGCTCCTGCAATTAACAATATGCAGATGTTCTTGTATATAAATTTTATCACCACATTTGATGATTTCTGAAGGTAACTTTTAAAGCATGAAATATTCCTCAAAAAATATGCTTGAGCTGCGATGATTTGCTAGAAAGACATAAATTACACTTTAGGGGCATCTTGAAACACTAATTCTATTGAAAATTTCCTTTTCAAAAAAATAACTTTTCAAATTACATGAGCACAGTGCCACATTTGTTTTGTGGTCGATAGGGGATTCAAACTGCCACACAGAGCAAAATGAACCCTTCAAAACTTGGGTGAGCATTAGCATGAGGATTTTACCTGGCACATGCACTTACAATGAGTAAGTATTTGTGGACATTTCATAGCTTCTCCCTTGCATAAAATAGCCCACTAGAAATGTAAGGTCTGCTCCTGTCTTCTGGGGGCTTTACCTTTGCTTTTAAAATAGTTTTGGTTAGCACGTATATACATCCCCTACCAGATTATCCTTTTATTATGTTTGGTTGATGTGGGAACAGATACATAGTCTGTGAAATAGCAAAAGTAGGCCCATCCTGCATCAGCAAATTGCAGCCTCTCACCGGAGACAAGGAGCATCACTCCTTGGGTTCACTTGCCACTTACTTCTCACTGGTGCTAGGCTAGCTGGCCACCATAGTGCAGTGGAGTCATGCACATCTTGTCCCCACATGAAGTTGTTGGCCAGCCAGCGAAAATTTAGGAATTGGGTGTAGGCAGCATTGTCCTTCCGTCTGGGCAACTTCTGAGCCACTTCTTAATCTGTGCTTTCTTCAATGCTAAACTTGTTTGAATACATTAAGTAGTGTAACTGGATTTCTCAGAGTTTCAGCCTCTCTCTCCTTCCAAATATCATCTTTCAGTTGCAAAATCCACACTTGCCTGTGTTGCCTCAGCTGTGCTGAGGAGTAATTTACTTTGCCACTGAACTGCGGCCACTTCTTGGTTGAAGAGTAGTAGCCATAAACCGAAATGTTACAACGCTACGCAGCAGTTTTGGGCTAACAGCTACCGTATCTAATTGAAACTGCAGGAGGAAGCTGCAGGGTTTCCTCTTCCTTTGATGCCTGTTCCATTACATGAGCACATCAAATAGAGTTTTCCCTCCATTGTTGGGAAGAAACCACTCTAATGAAGCTGGTCTGGCACTACCCACGTTTTTGAGTGCTTGTATTGTCTGCTAAGTGGACATTTAGGTTACCGTGCAAGCCCTCTAGCACATTTTTATTATAATTAAACATTAATAAAAATTGGCTACCATACTGGTTGAGTCCAGAGCACAGCTCTGCATATAAACCATTACATGACATTATATTGAACTTTTTCTTGTACAGACGGTATCTAACAGCTCATCCTGCACTGTTGTTTTTGGCAAGTTCACTACAGCATATAATAAATCAAGGAAAGAAAAAGCTTTTTGTCCTAATGTTGTACAGACTGCTGTAATGTTAGACTACAGAAAGCAATTCTGTTTTTAGACATCCTTTTACTAACCCAACATTCATAATTTATGATTTCACTGTAAAATTCCTGCAACACTACACCAAAAGTAGCGCTGCCCTTTAATTAAGTGCTCTCAGTAGGAAAAACGTGAAACTGATGTGCAAAACATATCACAGTATACAGTGATTGATAGTGATTACTTCTTTATGAACCCAGCCTGAAGGTCTGAACTTCCTGATGGGTAAAATGGTCCATGGGGCTACTTCCTGAGATTGCCTAGTGGGGATCAGTCAGAGTTAGCAATATCTGAGGAATTCCTGAGACGCATTTCAGAGATGTTACAGCAGAAACTTTCTATTTCTTTCTGAATTGTGTTTTACATTTATAATTACCTCATTTAGCCACTGTATTTTAAGGATTCATTGTTATCTTCATGGTAGCGTAATTTGCGTGAACTGGAATTTGCATACGTCCCTGTATTTTAATGCCTGCATGCGCAAATCTGGAAGTGCAGAGCAGGAAAGACTTCTGTATGTATCAAAGTTACTGAATGTTATCCAGTATTTAAAGCATAGGTATTCTTACAGGTATGTGCAGAGTATTCAAATTAAAAAAAAAAAAAAAGTCTGATGTGGATGGTTTGAGCCTCTAAATAGCATTTTTATTTAAGGAACCAGGCATTAATGAAATATGTTGATTTGACATTGGTTAAAATTTGAAAATCGAATGGAGGTCCATTCTGTCTGTGTTGGAATAACTAGAGGTGAGAAATTAAATTTCACCTAACACAAGCACATAAGTTAACTTTCCTTTTTGCTCTATAGATTTGGCCCTGGATTAGTCATCTACTGGTACGGATTTATTGAAGAACTGGACTGCCATCGTGAGCGTGGTATCCTGCTAAAAGACTGCTTTCCTACTGACATTGTGACTCTGCGACACAGCATGGCTCAACGCTGATGTTGGGAGGAAGAGGTAAATCCGGAAGCAATTTTACTTTCCTGCAGTGTAAACTAATGGCAGCATCTGCCCTGAACTTCAGCTGAACTCCTGCTGCCTGCCCTTATGCTACTGCCTCTTTATACAAACATATCAAGAGTTTCTGTTTTGCTTCAGACCTCTGTTGTGATCAGCCAAAAAAGACAGACAGAACCCACTCATTATCAGCATTTCTGTCTCTGTCAGACAGCTAGCTTCTAGATACTCATAATCTTTCTTCCTTCCGGATGGCTTCTTCTAGCATTCTAAACAAAGACAAAAATGCAGAGGCTGAAAGGTGCAACTTTCAGTTCTTATGTCTATTACGGAGTCACCTTTAAAAATAAGTGGCTTTTTATGGTTTAACTGCCAAATTTATTCAGTGCTAGTGAACTGACTGAAACACCTACACTGATGTGGAAAATTGGTAAAGACTTATTCTGGGGCTTAAAACATAATGCAGATCCCATAAAGCTAAAGTGATTAAGATAGGATTGTGCAAGTTCTAGCTGTTACAGTAAAGAGCCAGACTTTGAGAGAATAATTGGTATATGTGTTTTGTCACTATCTAATTGCTAAAATCAATAATGGAATACCGAGTTAACAATTAAAAAATAAGTTTGTGGATTTTGGGGGGTGAGGTTTGGGGTTACATTTGTAGGGTTTTAATAAGTAGTTTAACAACTGAAAAATAACTTGTTTGTCTTTTCCAGCCCACCCCCCAGGGAATCTGTACCTAGGAATTTTTCTCTTAACTGACTTTAAGGAAGGAATCTGTCTTGACCCCTGTAGGTACTGTAGCATACTATTTTCTGTCGTACTGAAGTCCGCAAGAACAATGTTCAGGAGCTGTCTGTGTGGGTTACTTCTGATGGAGATTACCATCCTGGTGTTCAACAAACAAAACAAAACAAAAACAAACAACAACAACAAAAAAAAAGATGAAACAGTGCTTTTTACTGGATCAGGGCCGCAAGATAAATAGACATACAAAGTTTGCCTATAGAAACCGTGCTGGGTAGAGCATAAGTTTTCTCCATACTTATGTATACTTGTAAAAGCACTGCTTTTGTTGAAACCACCAAGAGCAGAAGAGCATTTTGGTGGGTGCTAGCCCTCCCTAGATTTGAGCAAGTTCAATCTCACCCTATTTTCATCCTCATCAACACTTAGAGGGGCAGTGTTGGGCCTCAGGTTTGTGCTCTCAGAGATTTCTTAATAGCAGCTTACAGAGCTTGACACTCTAATACTCTTTTCTTCACTAACTGGCATTTGAGAAAGGACAGAATATTTTTAAAAGGCAGCGAGAGTTTTGCATATCTGCTCACCATGTTCTGATTTTCAGAGATGCAGAGGTATGGCTTTTGTTGTAGAATTAAAGGTGTGATAACAGGCTTCCTAAAGCACAAGTTGATAACCTCTTCCATAAGGAAAGGGTTTTTAAAACATTACAGTACATATTCATCATCTTTTTGCAGCTGAGGTGATACTCTGTGCGCCTGTATGATTTCAAAAATCACATGCAGGCTTTTTATAGTCTTTCCTTGACTTAAAAGGGTATTAATCTTGTTCCATTTTCTTTCAGCTATAGTTTTCAGATGCATGCGAAGTATTTTTATTTTGAACTTTTAGTTCTCGTTTTGTTTGCTATGTTTCAGAAAGGAGCTTATCATTTTGACTAATCTTTAATTTTCAGGGAAAAAAAAAAAAATCTTTCTTTAGTCTTCCTAGTACTCTGTTCCTTGCTGCAGAGATAAGCTGGTATAGCTCCACTACAGTGAATTATTGTTGCATAGAGATTATTATCCTAGGTTTTAACATGCTATAGTCGAAAGATTTATTTAAAAAATAAACCTGTTACAGCTGTAATTCATTCCTGTTCGGCTATTTAAGGTATTGTGCTTAGCTTATTTTGCCTAACCAGCTTTAAGGATCTGCCCATAAAGATACACAGAAGCAATACCTGCCTGATGCTACACAGGAGCTGCATGTAGGATGTTGCTGCCCCTGGGGCTGGGGTTTGTGTGAATCCAGAAGAGAATAAAAAAGAAATAGCTAAACATTATTGTAGTAGAAAATTCATAAGTAATGGTTGTTTGAGTGAAATGGGTTTGAAGGACAAACCGAATTTGTTTTAGCTAGTGCATATGCTTTCTGTTGTATGAAATCATTTAAATCAGCTTTTACAAGATGCAGTAATGCTGGTTTTTCTTTTTGAATAAATTAAATTTAACTGCACAGATGTTGAAAATCCTGCTCAACCTCCATCAAAGCTTTGCTTTGTTTTTTACATTAAACAAATTTATGTGGGGACACACAGATAAATCAGGTTAGGTTTGTTTATTCCTCTACCTAATGCCATGACATAACAGGTTGGAAAGCAATACAGCTGTCTTTAATAAAAGCTTTGACCTCATATTTATATATTGCCCCCTTTAAGCATCTTTGTATTAGAATGAGGATGAAATAAGTCACAAAAGCATACATACTGTGTTAATTTCATTACATTGAACAAGCTTTGCCACCACAAAAATTATTCTGTGTCACTATTTTAAATGCTGAAAGAACATAGTCTTTTCTTATTTGTTATTCCTACTTGTGTCTTGCAAAAAAACCCTCATTTGTGTATTTTTTTTCTGTTTATCATATGTAAACAGCAACTTCAGTATTAAAGAGACTACTGTTTGCGAGTTGCTTGTTGGTTTTATTTTCTTAAATAATGCTGTAGTCATTAGAACCTTAACATTAAAGCCAAATCCAGTTTTATAGAATATTCTGTAGAGTCTGCTAATGAATTACGCCTAGCCAGAAAACAGAAGCGTGCATAACACTGAATGATGTTCCCACTGGCATATATAGACTCACCAAGCATCTGCTCTTACAAGCAGTGTAATAAGGCCTGTTCTGAGCTTTAGGAATTGATGTGATTGTGTTGAACAGAGAAGTAAAACTTCCTTGTAATGAGAAGCAGCACAATGGTGGGTCACACTAGTATAAAGACAAAACATTTTTTAATATTTCTGTATTCTGAGGCCACATTATTAGCATGAGTTCTTCTTTCCCTGAAGCCAGCTCAGAGCAGGATAAAACTTCCAATCTAAAGCTGAAGAAAAAGGACCAAATGTCTTACTGCTCTTACCCTATTAATATTTTATCACATTAATAGTACTGATAGTTTATGAATAATTTTCATCCTGTTTGGTTACATCAGTGCATTCAAAAAGTCATTCTGTCCTGGTATTTGCTTTTGCATCTCTCCACCCTCTAAGACTACTATTACATAAGACTTTTCATGGGGTTTTTTGTCTGTCTTTAAATCCTCCCCTTCAAATTTTCCATCCTTTTTTAACCATTTCACATTTATTTATTCAGCATCCTCCCATTTGCCCTTGTTTCCCCTTTGAAGAGTCTGTCCTAAGTTTTCTAGTAACAGCTTCTGTTTCTGATAATAACCTGCATCCATGCTACCAGAAAATAGGCAAAGCCAATATTAGGAATATAGCTGTTAGAGTGGTCTCTTTCATTAAGGAGACTTCCTTTCCCACATGTTCATGCCTTGCTTGTGCAGCACATCTGCAAGGTCTGTTGATGTCAAAGGTTTAGCTTTCCTCCTGTGCCAAAATCTACTTGTCTCAGAAAGGAAAGATGGCTAGATCTCAGTTCTCAAACCACAGTTGTTTTGACAAGAGCTTGTCCATCCTACAGGTTGTTCTTGTTTAACAGAGTTGATTAAAAGTCCTTGAAGGTCAACAAAAAAAAAAAAAAAAAGCAAAATTGAACTTGATTCTTTTTTTCCTTCAGCTGAAGTAGTCTCACCATTTAGCTTCTGAAGGGATCTTTGGCATTTAGACAGTGAACAGTGAGCAGGAATAACTTGTCAGAACCATGCATTTGTTATTTTGAGGATGAGTTATACATATGCTAAGACAAATGCTGCTTAAGTATTCATTTAATAATATGGAATAAAATAGGAGGCTGCCTGCAAAAAAACAAACAAAGAAAATCCTGCTATCATGTTATTCCAAGTCACAAAGGGCCATTTGTGATGGATTTGCAGGTTATTCAGAAATAACCATTTTATTATGTTGACAAAAGAAGAAACCTCAAGGGCTTGCTCTTTACAGTGGTGTGATAGGAACCTAAAGTGTGCCTGTTGAAAAATGAACTAGCTAACAATGGGAGCTTGGCAGCAACTTCACCATTTATAGAGAAACTGTCTATCTAGTACGATCTGTATAAAATAGACTTCGCTTAGGTTAGGGAAAGGTCACAAGTTACACAAAGTTTGGATAGTCTAAATGCATTACTCAAAACTAACTCTCCTGTGTATAGTAAATATTAATTGAATCTGTATTATTAAGAACATGCCAGGATTCAAAAGATTAAATAAGGAAGATGTAATTATGAGCTAAATAATAAATAGAGCAGTTTTAGTTCCCCTTGTGTTTTTCACTTTCCTGCTATTGTTTCATATATGGCTGTTACACAAAGAGCAGCTTAGGCCAGCTACTATAAATTATGGGTTTCGTACAATAGTAATTTACCAAAATTATTTCAGAGCTGGTCCAAAGAACTTCAAAAGACTTTCAAAAAAACTTTTCCACATCATAAAAAGACTTCATTTTTATGCCCTATTTTTATAGGGATTTCTCAATTTAGAGTTGCATCTTACAGTATTCAATTGCTTACGTGGATACTATGTTATTGAAAGACACCAGATTTGAATAACTTATTTGCAGCCTCAATAAGCATGAAATGGTAATATCAAAACCCCTCTTTTTAAATACATTACCTGGCATGTTTTTCAGGCTAGTTTTTTTATCTGATCTAAGAGTGGAAAGATTTCTTTTTATTAAGAAAGCCAGCAAGTTTTCAAGTGAAATTTTATCTTTTTTCCCTTTACAAACATATAAATCATGTTTGCTAACAATCATTCACAACACTAATTCTGCATAGTGGCTTTTAGCTGGCATCATGTCCCTGCGTAAGATGTTCCCTTGCCCTCACTCCTGGGCAGGCTTTCACCTAATCTGAACAATCGCATGTCATCTGCATAGATCCATAGATGTGGCACTGCAGTGTCAAAACAAAATGAAATGTCAATGCGAGGGTATGGAGACAAAGTAACAATATTGAAACCATGTCAGTGCACATCTACAGAGACCACGTTACTCTGTCAGTGTGATTTTAGGAAGATCACTTTGAAATGTTAAAATGAAATGAAGCTAAGTCAATTAGGTAATAACAACTGAGGTTCAGGGATTAACTGAGGGCCTAAGGTGAAGCCAGTGACCATTAACCCAAGCTAGTTATTAATTCTCAGAGAAATATCCTTGGCTAAGGTTATTCTCATTATTAGAGAGCTTGGAAGTTTCTTTCCCCTATGTTGTATAAATATTTTTTGCTGTTGCCTCTAAGAATGACACCACAAAGTGTGGTATTGAAGGACAGTACAAGGCATGTTAGTGCCAAGTAAAGTTTTCATAGAAAGTAAATCCACCCAGTACCAGGCAAACAATTTGTATATATATATATATATATATATATATATATATATACACACACATATATATATACACAGAGAGAGAGAGAGACGTTTAACAGATTTATCTTGATGTCCAGATGGCTGTCTATAAAGAGACAGTTTTACTATAACGTATTTACCTCTGAGAACTTGCCAAATTAAAATAAAATTAACACGGAGAAGTGTTCATTAGCACGGCAACTACTACTTGTATGGCCCAAGTATCTATCGTTAAAATAAAGCAGACATGTAAGCTGGTCAGAAAAAAAACAGCAATATTAAATAATTCTTTTTCAAAATACTTAAAAAGCACAGAGTCAAGGTTGCAAACTTTATGCCAATTCAGGTTTCTACCTATGCTTTCTCATACAGAAGCCCCTGTTACCTGTTTGCTTTTCATAGGTGTGTTCACAGAGGCCCTCAGGAAAGGGCAGTAACTCAACACTTGTCCCTGTCATACAGGATGGTAACTCACATTAAAGTGCTGATGAAAGCACAGAGACATTTCTGGAAGTTGACAAGTGACAGTGATGGTGAGAGAGCATGACACAGAAGAGGGGATGAGCTGCACCTGAAGGAGGCAAGGCGAGGCCTGGCCCTGCTGGTTTTAGATCTTGAACTGAGTATTTTGGAGCTTCTGTCTCCAATGTGAAGCTACACAGATGTGGTCACACCTCACAAAGTGCCTCAGGGATGCAAAGAACATTTCTGAAAGCACTTTGAAACTCAGAGTAGAAGAGTACTGTGAAAATGCAAGTTCTCTTACCAGAAAAGGTTTTCCATTACAAATGGAAATATTGGATTATTTTTCTTTTGCTTTTCCAGAATAAGCATTCACACCACACTTCATTTTGTATTCTGCCTCAGCATGATACTCCATAATGAGTGGAAAACCATAAAAATTAATTTAATCAGTTTGTTTCCATACACACTTTAAGCAGCCTTATTTTAATGTGTTTGGCATTGCATTACATACAAATGATGAAATACATGTAGAAAAAATACCATAAAAAAAGCGAAGGCACAGTTGGGTCTGAAGACATACATACAGTTTCATCCTTCCTCTGAGGCAAAACTGTCTATACAGATCAGCTTGCATGTCTCTCTAATCTATCCTTAAAAAACTCCAGCCATGGAGATGCTTAAAAAGATTATGGGAATCCATTCCACTACCCATCTTTATTTAGTTAGAAACATTTTCCAATGTCTGATCTAAATCTTTTTTTTAAATAAAAAGCCTGTTACATCTCACTGAATTACAAATTAATATGGAGAATTAATCTTGTGGCTGCCTTCTTTTCTGACCTTTCCCATATTTCAATTTTTTTTCTCAAACAAACACCACAAGCTCTTCAAAAAAATTTTTGCAGAGAATTTTGAATTTTATGATAATATTTGTTACTTTACACTTGTCTGTTTCAGTTTGTCTATCTTATTTTGTTCTAGTTTTAGAAACAGCATCTCATGTAAAAGATCCCTGCAAATATATTCCCTCAATGACCAGTTGGTGGCTTCTATTTAGCCTGGAGCCCCTTATAATGTCCACATCCAGATTCATCTTAAATTCATCATTTTTAATCCTATTATTCTTTTCCTTCTTGCACATATAGCTTGCTTGTGCATTTTTAGAGTTTTAACTTGCTGACTTCAAACTAATTACATGATCTGTTAAATTTAGTTTGAGCTCTAATCTCACCCTTTGAAAACAAATACTTGTGTGATTAACAAAGTTTTGTACATGTGTAATCTGACTGGAGTCAGTAAGTTAAAACATTCACTGTTTCAAGTCTGGTACATGGATGAGTTTGATGGTTAGCTGTCACCAATAAAACATAACACTAATGGGATGCACCTATCGTAGAATATCCATCATAAAACTCCTACTAGTCCTCATAGTCAGAGACATGTGGCTACAGCTCAGCTTGTGACATTTACTGAAACAAAATACATAGTAGGAAAGAGTATGTTAAATGGAGCATGCAACAGCAACAAGTTCTTTTGCATAGATGTACATTTGCCATGGAGGTCTAAACAATTCTCACGGTTGGCTTGATTATCTTAATTCTGCTATCACTAGCCCAATTACTTAGCTATACTGATGAGCTCATACTGGCTTGCCAAAAAGTTGTTGGTATGAAATGAAAGCACAAGAAAACTTGTGTTGACTGCAGCCTCTCTTTCTGTAAGGTTTGCTGTAGGCAGCCAAGGAGGGTAAGAGTTGAATGAATTGTTTGTGCCCCAGCAACCTACAGCCCCTGAAAACTCTGCACCATTTTCTGGCACGATAAGCAGACTTGTCATAGGAATGTGAGGTAATAAGAGTCATAGATTTACCTTTGTCTCCCATTTACCTAGTCCATGCTGTACTTAGCTTGAAACAATCCTGTCCATTACTGCTATGCGTAACTACTTTATGCTCCTTGACCAGAGATAGCTTTAAACTATGTAATACTAATGGGAGACAAAGAAGAATATTAAGTATCTAACATTTGAGCAACAGTGGAGAGTTTTAATTACATCCCAGATAAGAGATCTCTTAGCTGGAAAAGTAACATTGAAGAGTCTACTTAAAGGGAAAATATAATTTGTTATAGCTAGCCATTAGTGTGTAATTCACAGTTTTCCCACTTCTATTTTACAAGCTGCATACCTTGCTCCGTCATTCTTCAGTTACTCAGGCACAAGAACAAACTTACACAAAGCGGTCAGTTTGTCAGCAAGGCCCAGAGAGAGACTCGGTTGGATCACAGCTTCCCACTGATCCACTAACAATGTTAAAACACCACTTCCTCTGTCTATTCAGCCCTTGTATGGCAAGCCCATAAGTGATGGCTTCCTGGTTTTATAAATAATAACAGCTAAATAGCAAAGCGTTTTCTGATTTCTTGGCCCCATATTTCCTTCAAAGATAGCAAAAAGTATTTTCCTGAATTCTTTGGTAAGGCATGTTTGATGTGGATTGGGAGAGGAGGAAAACAAAGGCAAGGACCCACAGTAAAGATGAAATCCCAGGTTTGGATCCAAGCCTTGACAGTCCAGTGACAGAAGAACCAAATTATAACTATTTTAATCTATTTAGTTAGTTTTAGCATCTTGCTCTAAAGAATTGAATCAGCAATAGGATTAATACTGACCTTAGCAGAACAAGTTGTTCACTACACTGGCTTCTTTCAGGGGCTGAAAGCAGTTTTACAGCATGTTCCCGTCATCTGCAGTTTTACTCTGATTTCTCGCTGTCTCTCTCCTCCTTGCTAAGGTGCTTTCTCTCAGCTCCACAGGTCCAGATTGAGAGGCAGTTTGTGAGACTTATATGCTTAGCTAGATGCATTCCATTTGCCAGTGTGCTAAAAAATGAAGAGATAAGTAATTGTTTCATTATCTAGTTTGTTTAATCTTTCTGCATTGTTCTCACTTTCTAGAGTTCCATTCACCCACATGACTGGAATAATATCTTCATCAGAAATACCCCAACTCATTTTATCTGCTCCAGTTGTGGAGCCAGGTCTTCTGTGCTGTAAATCAGTTCTCCTTCAGTAACTAAAAAAACATTTACATATTTGCCGATTGATAATTATCAAAGCTCTGGTGATGCAATAAAAGCCAATGCTTGGATAAGGAAAACAGAGCTGATATACAGAGAGGTGAAGTCTGTGGCCTCTACCAAAAACACCATGATATAGACACCATAAAAATACTGGCAAGTTTCAGATGTAGTGGCAGAAAGTATTCTGTATGACAGATGAACACAGTAAGGGTACAGAGGTTTGTCATAAAATAAGATACCTTTGAGCTGATAAAGTTACCTCTGTGTACCATTGTTCATTTAGTGAAAAGGAAGCATAAGGTACTATTTTAATTCAGTCAAAAAAGAAAAGAAAACACCACCACTGCTTTCAGAGGTGTAACTGATTTGTTCCAGAATCATTCACTGGCTGATGATATACAGAATACTGTAACATTATTTTGGTCATATTTCAAATGATGTGTCTTAAGTCACTGATCCAGCTCAAGACATAAATCTCAGATCACAAAATGCTGAACAATTTTCAAATAAGTGAATGAGTGCTGATGCTGGGCTGCGTGCAAGACACAGACCAACCATTCTTCTGTATTTCTAAACGCTGAAAGCTAAACAAGATGCATCTCCATGGGCCAAAGTATGGCTGACCTGAATCAAGGAATGAAGGGAAATGCAACTGTCTTGTAATGCACTTTAGCAACCTGTCTCCATATTTCAGTCTTCCTTACAGTGAACTAACCACTTAGAATTTATGAGATGGAGGTTAAGACAAACATTTGAACCTACGGATGAATATAGCTATAATGAAATAGCAATACAATGATGCTTTACTTCCTTGTGCCCTAATGTGAGCTGTGCCACTGAGGGATTTTAAGTGTGCTAGGCCTGGCGTTTGGATTTTTTTCTGCTTGGCTATTAATTGTTCTAGGTGGTGAATGTCTTAATTTCCCAGTTATAGCAAAGGAAAGAAAGAAGGGAAAAAAAAAATATAAAGTACTTCAAGAAAGGCTTGGGGGAAGGAATGCCAGGAACACTGGGAGGCCAGGAGAGACAGTCAGAGGCCTGGTAACTGAATCAGAAAGTCTGTTCATATGCTGTCTTCAGATTCAAAAGACTATCATTGATTGTGCAGTCTGAATATAGTGGAGTTACAAAGACACAGATTATACCAAAGGTGGTCAGAAGGACTTCTAGCATAATGTGTAAAGTGGGAGGACAAGAACTGGGCTACCAGAACCTGAACTGTGTATTAGATATGACTTGTCTACTTGTGCAACTAGCAGATTTGTCACAGAAACAGTTCAGGCAGAATGACAAACTTCTGAACTCTGCAAGGTGAGATTTCTCTTTAAAGGACCTTGCTAACCAGGTGGCAAGACAAGAAGCCCAGCAAGCATGATACTAAGAAACACCACAGGTAATGTCCTTATCAGGTTCCAGATTAGTCAGGGGAAGAGATGGGATCTATATGGTGAATTTATACTAAACTCTCTTGCTTGGAGAAGTTAACCTTAAGTCTTAAGGAATGCAACTGAAGTTCTAAGGGTACAGGAAGCTTTCCTGGCTATAACATCATGAACACATCACTAGTGTATTCTGCAACTCCTGTATGACACCCTACTTCAGCTACCTCTCTTGTCATTGCAGGGAGACCAGCTTTGGCCTTACAGCAGTTCCATCTGGGACAGTCTTCTAAAAACTTTCATCAAAAGTTATAGCTTGAAGTACAAAAATCATACTGTGTGAAATGAAGTATCTAGTGACTTCATCTAAGGCTCAGGGACAATTTAATTGTGCAGTATAGTCTAAGAGAAAACAACTTCCATAAGACATGTACAAAGCTAGAAACTTGGTGCAGATGCCTGCCTTGGACAGCCCACCTGCTAGGATTGCGAGTAAGAATTCCTGATTGTGGGGTGCTCATCTTGGTTATACACTTGGGAAGTATTTAAAGTTTACTGAAGCAAACAGACTATGGTAATGAGATAGGAAAGGATTACAGCAGAACAAAAGCAGCCCAGTGAATTCTAAAAATAGTCCTATTACAGCAGTAACTAAGACCCCAGATTAGATATTTGCCTCTGACTTCAAAACAGCCTTGGATTCTTCCAGATACACAAATCTCATGCTGAAAAGTCCCAGTGAACACCTTCATTTGTTCTGCTAGTATTGTGTCAGGGCTGGTGAACTCTTCTGAGGCAACTGATCTAACAATACTCGCAAGATGTTAGTTTTCCCTCTGCCCCTCTGAAATAGGTAAACCGAGGCATTAAAATTAAACTTATTGCCAGAGACTGCACTAGGGTAAAACACAACAGACAGTACCTCAGTTTTTAAGTCCCAGGTGTAAAGGTGCTTCTGTACTCATGTGTTTTGCTTCTTTGATTTATCATTTGTTTAGGCTTGGATTTTTTTGTTTGGTTCATTTTGTTTCCCATGTAACACTCAAAGTCAATCTTGCACCACACAAACCAAAATATTTGCAGTGTACTATTGTTGTTCTTGTGTGCTTGAACTACATTTTCTTCAAAACAAGACAAAGCGAGATTCCTGTGTACTGAATATGAAGAGTATGCAAGTAAGTCAGCACCCATATTTGTTTTTTCATTTGCCCCATGAAATTCAGTATTGTTAGCAGCAGAAATAAGCGACTTAAATGTTCCACCTTAGTTCTAAAAAGGCTTATACATAGCTTTTAGAAGTAATTTATCCCTGCCACTGATGTTCAGAGGAAGATACTAACCACTTAATTCAGAAAGACACACAGTGCAATCCATATACTACAACCTACAAGAGATAACTTGTCATATCTTCAAGAAATGAACTGAGAAATCATGAGTGGGATTTTTCTAGTGCAGCCAGCAATAGCTTAACTCATTGCCTCTAGACATCACTTGCCAATTACTTCACAGGAATCTCAGTTAAGCCAATTGCCAAATGCTCTTTAAAAATCCCTATCCACCTTTATAAAAGACTTCAGTTTGAAATTAAATGCAGCTGCATTTTTAATTTATTTTTATCTAAGAACATGGACAGTTACATTGGATGCTCTCAATCAAGAAGAAGCAACTCAATTGTATATCTGATTTGTTCAGGTATAAAGCTGACTTTTTTCCTCATAATACAGACTATTATTTAGCAGGAGATGTAGTAAATAGTAAGGCAGAATAACAGTGGGATGTTTATTGTTAGCAGAACTTTTGCTGTGGTACCTAACAGAAAGACCTTTAGTCACTGATGCGTAACTGGAGTGTAAAGCAGCTGTTACCAACTCTGCAAAGGTAAGAAGTCCATAGTATGAAATGCTGTTGAGCTCACACAGCCACATGCTGTGCAGCTTAACTGTTCCGAGGAAAGAAATTTGAAATCCTTATTTAAGGACCTTGACTCCTCCCTGTCATTCACTAAAGGAGCTGTCCACCTCAGAAGGTGCCTTCGGAATCACCTCCAGACTGAACAGCCACCTGAAGGTCAACATACCTACTGCAGCAGGAGCAAGCTGGGGAGAACTATATGCAAATTCTTTTTTTCCCCTGAAACAGGAGTCTTTGGACATACCCATGTCTCCACCTACATACAATCCAAATCCTTAAATATAAGTGCCAAAGTGCTTTCCCAATAAATATATGTAAAAAAATCTTCCAAAGTACAGAAGACACAGAACCTTCTCTCAATACACTTGGCATGGAAAGGCAGGTGGTTACAGCACCTTATTCAGATCAGAAAGATGCAAGTTGGAGTCCAAGCCCATGGGCACAATTAGCAGTCTCCATTTTCATCTGTCACAGTCATTGTGACAAAAACAGAACTCAAACTTCCTGGGACAGGAAGTAACACAAATGAGCATCACAGTACTATTTCAGGTATGTCCTCAGTCAATCTAAATCTATCCTTCGTATAAAGGACAAAACCAAATACATATTAATGTACTTACCAACATGCAATTGTATGAGAGGGACAGCAATTCACTCTCTTCCCATATGTGTTCTGTAAAGAAAAAAAGTTGCTATCACTGCACTTCAAGTAGAGATTGATTGACTCACCATATGTAGGTTTGCTTTTAAAGTAACATCTAGTTGAAACCCCACAGAGAAGTTCTGGATCCTAGCCAGGAAAAAAGCCTGAACAAGATGACAAGGTGATGGTGGTACAACTAAGGTGCTCCAGGGCACAGGCAGCAGCAGAACTTCAGGCTTGGGGGTAATTCTAGGGTCAAAAGCTAAGGTCGTGTTTGCCCCAAACACCTGGGAAATAAGCTGCTGGAACTAGGATCTGCAGGAACAGTCTTCTGAGTTTAGACATCTAAATTAATTCCTTTTGGATATGACCTCTAAGATTAGAGTAACAGAGACACAAGATAAAAGCTAACAAAAGAGAAGACAAATAGACTGACTTTTCATCTCACTAGCAATATAGAGAAACCTTTTCTTCACATGCTCAGCTACATAACGTTTCTGATAAAACAGATGTTTTTGTAACCAGTATATATTTTTTCCATTATAAAGATTAAATGGAAGGACTCAGAGTTTAAGGGATCTTTATTTGACTCTCAACAGGACATCCTTTTTTTATCAGCTTCTTCAATGGCACAGCCCAGTTAAACTCGTTTATAAACCTTATCCTGGAGGAGCTTAGCACAAAAGTAGCATAAAAAAAAAAAAAAAGAAAGAAAAAAAAGAAAGATAGTTTACCTTTGTATTTCATACAAAATTGTCCTAAACAGCGGTATCAAATTTTCACCAGGTAGAGAATGACTTTCATGTTCATGTTTACCTCAATCTTCTGTCCGTACCTTTTTAGTTGGTGCCCAATACATATAATTAC